TGATCCTCCTGCCTCAGCCTCCCGAGTCACTGGGATTACAGGCATGTGCCACTACAATGGCCTTTTTAAGCCCCAGTGATATCTAACATACTATTTCCTTGGTTATTGAGGGTTATTAAGGATACACACCCCACCCATAAAAGTTTATACTCAATAAACAAAGAATATACATTCTTTCTAAGCACATGAAACTTTTTTAAAATTACTACATTTAGGATACAATGTCTCAATAAATGCCAAATTTAAAAAAATCCCACATTCTCTGAAACTGGAAGACAATAGGATAGAAATAATTTACCACAAAACACATAGTAAAAATTAGGAGTCCATAATTCATGGATACAACTAACTCATCTCTAAGAATTACATATTCAACTGTGCTAATAGACATATTGAACTTCAATCAACTAGGGTTTTGATCAGGAAAGGTAAGACAATTCTGAGTAAAATGGAGTAAGAATTCATTCTAGAAATAAGCCTTCCACCATTGTGGAAACTGGGGAATAAACATGGAAATTTTTGCCTCTGACAGTTGACCTGCTTCAGGAATAGAAGTGAAATATAAAGCTAGAAAAAACTAGGACAAATGAATCTCACAAGGATAAATTGAAACCCTTGAGAACAACCTAGAACCACTATTTCTCACTGCCTCCAATCTCAAAAATGTGGGTGACCTGCTGAAAAAGTTGGCTTTTCCTGGAGCCGCACACACACACCTGACCCGGGACTCAGAGCAACGACCCAGATTCTTATCTCAGACTTATCTAATTTACCAGCAATTTCTGTTGGCCTGACCTTGAAAAAATTTCCATTGCTTTTCACCAATTCTACTGTCACTTTCCTAATCCAAGCCACAATCATTTCTTACTTATTGTCCCAGTCACCCATATGGCCTTCTTGCATCTAGTGTTGCCACCCTCAGTCTACCCTCCATGCTACAACCAGAGCAATCCTTACAGAAAGTGTTAAATCATGTCACTCTCCTGCCCTACCCCTCCAATTGTTTCCCATCAGCTCACAAATCCCTACCTGACCTGCACATGACTACTTCTCTTATCTCTTATCTCTTTCTCCCAACCACACACATTTTCACATGACAGTCTGTACAATCATGACTTTCTCTGCTTGGATTGCTCTTTTCAGTATATCTATATGACTAATGATATGCTATGAAGGACTCTCCCTATGTGTCACCTTTCAGAGGGACTTTTCCTCTTCAATACATCCCTATTTTCTTTTTTGGTTTCATGATTTCTCATGTTACCTGTCTCCAGTTGATCAGTTGATATCATACACACACACACACACACACACACACATATATATATAACTGTTTGTTGTAGATCTCCTCCATAAGAATGTAAACTCCAGGAGAGCACAGATATTGTTTGTTCTTATCATTACAAAA